TTTATTTATTTATTTATTTATTTATTTATTTTTTGTTGAATTTTATTTCGAATTTCTGTTGGTGGGCTCGAATCCCATCTTATTCACATTAGATTTTTCTTTTCTTTTTTTTTTAAATCCCTTTTTTTATAAGATTTAAATCTTCAACAATAAGCTAATGCAATTATATATTTTTCCAGTGAAAAAGTATTTATTCCTAGTCGGTTGCTTATAAGCCTGCATGAGTTCGATTAGACGTTGTCAGCCATATAAGCAATAGCAATCCGCGAAAAGTAAAGCTATGCTTTTCTTATCTTTCCTGGCAAAGTTTGCTGACGAAAACATTTACTGCACTTGGATCTAGATCTCTATATCATATGCCCGCAAAGAACTAGTGGGTGGTGCCGTGAAGACTTCTGGGTACTATTGCGCAATCTCTGTATTTTCTGACAAGGTAAATAAACAGCTACCCCAGTAAATACACAAAGGATGGTAAAAAGATAAGAAAAATTAATTGGCGATTCTGACTGCGAACATTCTCGACTTTCACATCCCCATAATCCTTTGCGTCTTTGGGGATAAACCAGAGGGTAAAAACCAACTTATTTTGCTCAAGGCTGATCAGACAATGTTGACAATACCTTGTTTGGTATCCAAAGATAAAATGAAGAAGTAAAAAACAGAAAAAGATAGAAGCTTGAAGACGTGTAAGGTAAATTTTAAACATTTTTTCGTAAGTCAATACATTTTCTGTAAGACAAAAACTCTTCATGATCTGTACACGCAAAAATAACTTGGAATAAACTGATAATCAGTATTGTACAGATAAAAGCAGGTATAGTATAAATTCAWWTAAGAAACCTTTCAATTTGGGACAGTTTTTTGATTGGTTACCCCCCAAAGACGCAAGGCATTATGGGATCAAATTCAAATTCACAAGTAGGTGACATGCATAACACAAAACCGTTTATTTCATTAAAAAAAGGGCAGAATTACCTGCAATTATTTTAATATTATATAGAGAACACCTTAAGGGAGAAGATTGTCTTAGAAGAGTTAAACGAAATCATTATTTTCTGTGAAAAGCTTTATTATCTTTTGGCTATCACTGCAAACTTCTTCGTTTTGTTTAACTGATAGACATATCAAGGTTTCATATCATCAGGTAAATTTTTGAATAAAAACATCGTTGAACGGTCCTGTGAAGAAAGTAGATGCCATTGTACAAGAGAATATTCTCTTGCATAGTATTTAAGTTTTATGATAATTATAACAGTGYGATACTGAAAAACACAGAAAAAACAAAATCCATTGCTTAAAATAAAACTTTTGCGTTGTATTCACTAGAAATTCCTACGATAGGATTTCGGCCGACACCACTGAACTATCTTTGAAAAACAATATTCCCTTACGCGGCACCTTCACTTTCGGCTCACTTCAGCCATAAGGATGTCGTTTGTGCCAAGCCGATTCGTGACGAAACCACGAAAAAATCTTAATTCTCAAGCATATGACAATTGGTTTTCAATAACAAACTTGCCTAAAAGTACTCATTGCTTTGTCAAATACGAAATATCGTGCGATTTATGATACGTGACCATCACACGGAGCCGGACTGCAGGTTGCCCCTAAGCAGATTAATTTTAGCTGAAGTACTAATAGAATAATTGATTAATAGAGGATAGTAGATCTAGTTGATAATTAATTATCAACAATTAACTTGGCACGACCC